CCAGGGCTGGATGTTTCCACGTGTGGGTCACCAGGCACCGTGGGAGAGTGGGGCTCCAGCTGTGTAGCCCTTGGCGCTGCTGGGGAGGGGACCAGGATGCTCGCCGTGGCATGAGCCTGGGGCTTGGGGGAGCTGCTCCTCGCTGGATTACCTTGTCACCCGTGCCTCAGTTGACCCCTTGGTGCAGCAGGGAGCATGAACTGCCTGTCTGGCAGCCCTTGGAGATGGGTGGAGGAAGCTTTGCAGGATGGGACTGGGGGAATTTTGCAAGGCAGAGGGAGTCCTGCATGTGCCGGGCAGAGGGTTTGAAGCTTCTCATTACTGATTCCCAGTTGGCTGCCACAGTGCAATAACTACCCTGGGGTGGGGAACGGGCTTCAGCTGCTCTGGGGGGTCATCTCTGCTCCCTGCCCACCCCCAGGCATCGCTGTCCCTCTGTGCCGCGCTGTTTTTTCCCTTGAATCGTCGATGCAGATGCTGCGGTGGCCACGCAGCACGTAAAATCTCTGCTTTTAAGAAGCTGTATCCGTGCAAATGCCTTATAATCCGGGTGAGCAGCTCCGTGCTGGTTCGGCCCCTGGCTGCAGGGGGGCTGAGCAGACCCAGAACTCCCACTGTCACATCGGTCTGGGGACGTTTTGGAAGCAGTGCCTCAGACAGGACCCGTTCCCTTCTTGGTGGTGAAAGAGATGTTTGCGTGGCCCGGGGAGCATCCTTTGGCAGGGCTGCTCCCTCTGCTCCATCCTTATAGAGCCTCCCTGCCTTGCCTGGTTCTCAGTCGTCCTTTTGCGCTGCAGGTCTCATGGTACCAAGTGGCGTGTCCCCCCTGTGAGATACAAGCCTGCCAACCTCCTGAGAAGATGTCAGGGATGCAGGTAAGTGTCTGGCAGAGAAGAGAGACAGGGATGGAGCAGGCTCTCCGGCCTCTCCATCTGCTTCAGAGATGGCTGTGGAGCTGAGGAGGAGCTCAGCTTCTCCCTGTGCCCCTGCAGAAGCCCAGCGCTGCGGGCCCCGCAGTTTTGTGTGTGTTCCCCCCCTTCCCTGTCCCCATCCCAGCTGAAAAGCAGTCAGAGCTCCCAGTGCTGCCCCACCTCCCCCAGACTGCTCCTGGTTTAAGTGGATCCCGTTTGGGTTTACATCAGAGGAACGGGAGCCCCACATGCCTGGGGTTGGTGTGTCCCCATGTGTTGGGGGGGAGACCCGGGGTGGGAGACGTGCCCAGCCAAGCTCTGATGCCATCCCTCTCTCACCAACCAGGCCGTTTGGCCATCCGGTACAGAATGTATCGCCAAGTACAACTTCCATGGTACCGCTGAGCAGGACCTGCCCTTCAGCAAAGGAGACGTCCTTACCATTGTCGCTGTCACCAAGGTAAGGCCATCGCCTCCCCACGGGCCCCCCAGGCTGCTGCCACCACCCTCTGTGCTGGAATTTCCACGGGATGCCGGGAGCATCCCTGCATCCCACGTGGGACCCTCTGTCCCCCCGGATGTCCCTCGGTGCCAGCAGGGCAGGAATCGGGCCACGCATTCAGTTAATTAATCCATGGCCTCGTTAGTTAAGATTTCTCCAAAATGAGTCTCAAGTGCCTCCTGGGAGGTGGAGGAGGGAGGGGAGAGGCTCCTGATTAGGGAGTGGTGCTGTGCTTGGTGCTGGAGGAGAAAAAGAGAGGGTCTGTGGGTTGGAGGGCTCCAGGCTAAGCAGCAGTCTGGGAGGGGGTATCGCAGTGACCCCCATGGGGCCATCAGCATAAGGATTTGCTGACCCCAGCACCGACCCCAGGCTTCGTGGCTGTCCCCTGCCCACCCCATCCTGCCTGCAGGCAAGCAGGGGCTGTCAGGGTGCTTGGGGACATGCAGGCAGCTGCCTGGGAAAGGAGGGGCAGTGCTGACACTCCCGTGGGCTGCTTCTGTGGGATGTTGCCATCTCTGGGGGCCACAGGCTTGTTGTGACACCTCTGCTGTCCCCACAGGACCCCAACTGGTACAAGGCAAAGAACAAGGTGGGCCGGGAGGGCATCATCCCTGCTAACTACGTGCAGAAGCGGGAAGGAGTGAAAGCTGGCATCAAGCTCAGCCTCATGCCGTGAGTATCCTTACACTAGACCAGGTTGCTCCAAGCCTCATCCAGCCTGGCCTTGAACACTTCCAGGGATGGGGCATCCACAGCTTCTCTGGGAAACCTGTTCCAGTGCCTCACCACCCTCTCCAGGAAGAATTTCTTCCTGATATCTAATCTAAACCTCCCCACATTCAATTTAACCCCGTTACCCCTTGTCCTGTCACTACAGGCCCTTGTAAAAAGTCCTCCCCCAGCTTCCGTGTAGCCCCCTACTCTCCATACCCATGGGTGGATAATTCTGGTGTCCCTGCTGCATCTCAGAGCCACCGATGACCCCCAGTCTGAAGGAGCCGGGGCTGCCATGGGGAGGAAGCCCCCAAGGGTGTGTGGGGAGGCTGAGTCCCAGGTTGGGGAGCAGGATGCTGTAGCAGGAGGTGTGTGTGGGGTGGATGGGGGAAGCAAGGGGGAGCATGGGCGAGCTGGCCCCACGCAGGCAGGGGTGAGGGCTGTCCCATGTCCCTGTCACCCCCATACCCTGCCCCATGGGGGTCCGACCATTCGGCTAGCGCATCCCCTGCCCCATCACAGGTGGTTTCACGGGAAGATCACACGGGAGCAGGCGGAGAGGCTGCTGTACCCACCCGAGACAGGGCTTTTCCTGGTGCGGGAGAGCACCAACTACCCCGGGGACTACACGCTGTGCGTCAGCTGCGAGGGGAAGGTGGAGCACTATCGCATTATCTACTCCTCCAGCAAGCTGAGCATCGACGAGGAGGTCTACTTCGAAAACCTCATGCAGCTGGTGGAGGTGAGGCCCCATGCTGTCCCTGCGTGGCGACCCTAGGTCTGAGGGGGGGGACACGCACAGGGGTCAGCGCCTGGGAGACGGTGGGACCTTCTCTGCCGACGCCGTGGGTTGAGGGGACAGACCCCCGGGGCGAGGCGGGTGGGTGGAGGGGGTGGCTGATGCGCAGGGGACCGGGAGCAGGAGGAGGAATGGGGACCCCCATCTCTGGTCCCATCCACGGCTTCGTGCTGCCCCCTGGTGGGATGCCGGAGCCCGGCACCCCCTTGGCCCCCCCACCCAGGGTATCACTGCCACCTGTCCCCCGTGGCTGTGACCCCCGCAGCAGGGGGGGCTGCCTTTCACCCGTGTCACCCCCCCAGCCTTCCACCACGGACACGGGCCGGGTCT